AAGTGCAGGACTTGGCACTTGGCCTTGTTGAACCTCATCCCGTTGGTCTCGGCCCATCGATCCAGCCTGTCAAGATCTCTCTGCAGAGCCTCTCTACCCTCCAGCAGATCAACACGATTCGCTGTGCAATACGACCCTTTTCCCTCCGCGTGCTGCAGGGAAGAGATACGGTACCTGGAATGTAGTTGCTCTGGGGCTCGATGCCTGCTGGGAAGTTAGTGTTCTCTGGGATAGAATGGCTGTAATCGTCTAACGGGGGGAACTCCGCTGGGATCTCTGTGTGCCGAGGCACCAGCACTGGAGGTAACACTGCACAAATGGAAAGGAAACAAAAAAAAATACGACAGCCGCGTTAACAGCTTTGAAATAAAATGACTGAAACCCTAGAAAATGAGGAGAAACCAGTTTGGAGTAACACCCTTCAACACACGCAACGCCAAAGTCACTGATTAAGGGACACGATTTGATACTTGGTGCTTCTGAAGTAGCAGCAGCAGTTAAAGATGCTGTTCTTAACGTATCTCAGCTGGGGGCTGGATACGTGCTTATCTGAACACACCTCAGTCTGCCTGCCCCTTCCAAGGCAAAGAAACAGGTTGCCTTGAAAAACGATGCAAGAGAAGCTACACCATGTAATTCCAAAGGAATAGATTTCACATAAAACGAAACGGTGAAGCAAGATTAGCATAAACACCCAGACTGGTTCTGCAGATTTGTACTGACACGCAGCAGAACTATCTGCAGCTCCAGATGAAAGTCTCTTTCAGAGACTTCAGAACAGGAAGTTCACTTGCGTTGGGAGCTATTCTTAGATCCCACTTCAACTTAACAGTAAGTTTATCCTTAATTTAATACCAACACTTAGGGATGCACAGAACACTGCCATAGCTCATGCTTATATCTACGACGTGTGTGAGTTGTTTACATGCACACAACGCCACATCAGGAACCTGGCAACAACGCAACCTGCTCAGCTCAGATTTTATCCATTTAAAATGATATTTCCCCCTTGAGTGCAGGTTCATAAATTATTCCACGGCGTACAGTAAGAGATTACCATCAATAATAGATACACTTTGGTTTTAAAACCCTACGCCTGCTGCTTGAGTCAATTTGGAAATGCACTTCTAAATCCCTCCCCTTCCCCACCGAGCAGCTGAGGTACCCCCAGCTGGGACCAGCCCTACCTGGGGTTTCCACTCTTTGGTAATGGTAAGGGTTCACACAGACTTCATCCTTCTTCATGTTGAAGGCGTACTCGCACATCTCCATGGCACGCAGCTCATGGTGGCTATGGAGGTCCGGCCACCGCCACAGCCGGCAGTAGATCACATGGGGAAGACCCTTCCGGTGAGACACCTGGAGCCGGCCATCTAACGATCTGCGGGCAGAAGATAAAGACAACATCAATTTAGATGGGGATTAATAGATGTGTGACACCCACCACGTCCCATCAAAGGCCACGTGGGGGAACCCAACGTGAAGGCTGAAGACATCAACAAGAGGCTCAAAGGCATTCGGGATCTGGTCTTCGGTTCTCTCTGAAAACTATCAAACCTTCGTTGTATGTACCAGCCCTCCTCCTCTGGATTTATTCATTTTCTGAGAAAAAGGTTAATTTGGAGGCAGAGACAAGAGCTACGGCAAGTAAGAACACACCGATTTAGTGGTACTTCTGAAGCGTTTATGTGTGTGCTAACCAACAGGCTGTTTGCAGAGCTCTCAACAATTTATGTTGCTACATCTTAAACTACGTGCTAATAAAACTGGACTTTTAAAGTACAGAGAGATATGAATTTCCATTGTGACAAAATCACCCCAAAATTACTATAGATACCTTTTCTTCAAACAGTCTTCACAAGCATTACAAAAAAGACAAGGCTTCCAGTTTCATTTTCCAAAATTGCAGCTTGAAAGCAAAAAATAGGATTGTTTCAGCATTGCTTACTTTTGTTTTTGCATCTAGCCCATGTTCTCCTCCAGCTCATTTTTCACCAAATCCTACCCTCGCCCCAGAATAGCCTGTTCCTTGCAAACCCTCCTGGGAAGCAAGACAAACGAGTTCAAATCGTGTCTCCGGCAGAGGAAGGAGCTGGAGCGGGGTCTCCTCCATCAGCCACTAAATGGGAACTGCCCCCGGGCACCTTCTTTGAAGTCTAACCCTTCATTTCCCTTGCTTTTCTTAATGACTGAAACCAAACACTTCAGGAGTTTGGTGAAATGAAATATTTCTATTTTTTTAATTTGTCAAAGAAAAAAAAAAAAAAAAAACATAAAAGAAAATTGAAATTTTACTTGGAATTAATTTTCCTTGGCAGCCAATCTAGAAAAACCAAACCACACAATTATTCAAACAGTGGTTGCGTTGGGCTTGGCTGCCCTTTAAGAGAGTTTTCCCAAAAACTTCTCTGGCAGAGCCTGGTGACACGCACACCTCTCGTAAACACCCCGACAATAACCGGGAAGGCAAAACACAACCAATTCCAGCTATTTCTGACAAGCCCTTGATTTAGGGGAGCGGGGAAACGCGTCACACAACTGTGATGTATAAAATATACCAGGAGTTTCTGCCACCGCTCAGGGACTTGCTGGTCCAGGTTACAAACCATCTAAAACCTGCGAGTTTATCACAGCCCTGAAAAATGCACAACGCCCACGGTTATTATTTATAGTAGGTATTTATAGTATGTATTTCTTCGTATCATGCCTGTTATTTATGGGTCCCACATTCTCTTCAGACTTCACTCTCCAGCCTGCTCTGGGACAGGGTGACCAACCAGCTGAGCGTCTGGCACGTTCTCCAAGGGTGTTCTTACGCCAAGGTCCTTCTGAGGGCTGGAAAGCAGAAATCAGTCTGCCCAGACTCACCAGGAGGGCACCAGCGTCTAGAACTGATCTTCTGTGGAAGGTGGGAACCTTGGTATTGATTTTAATAGGGTCAAGAGTAGATTTATGTGACCCCTAAACTTGTCAATGCGGGAAATTTTTAAAATATCTATCAGAAGTGTGAAAATACTAACTTTAACAAAGAGACTAGGATGAAACAAGAGAGGATAAAGGAGAAAAAAGAAGCCTCAAGAGATGATTCCAAGCACCCCACAAGAGAAATGACTGTGGCAAGTGTTCTTACTCTTCCCAGTCACCACCAGCAGCACGTTACCGATGGACATCCCACCACCAGATGCTTGGGCTGAGACTGGCAACTGGGAGTGAGGCACTAACTCAAAGCATGTATGACTTTGGGATGGTTCTCTCCCTCCATTTCCCAAGACAGAAGAAACTCTTTATACCTACAGCAAACTTCCCAGTCAGCCAGAGGCCACAGTGCTCTTCTTCCCATCACCCTAGGCTTCTTGGAAAAAGCTCTGAACTTTCTTCCCATCACCCTGGGGTTCTTGGAAAAACCTCTGAAGTCTTTACAAAAACAGCCAGTATATCTAGCTGCCTGACACACTCTCTGAATGCAGTGGCCACCTACTTTAATGGAGCCCTTCCACCGGCCAAGTTCTCACAGGAGACAGTGGAGAGAGACATCAAGTCACCGTTGTCTGAGCAATCCCCAAATCCTGGACAGCTTCAGTGGGTATCTAAAACAAAACCAGCCTAAAAGCATAACATACCTCAACCTCTCAGTATCAAGCTACTCATTTTTGTTAGCAGAGACCACACTCTGCAGAAAACACGTTGTGCTCGGTGTCTACCACTGCTCATAGCATGAATGCCATCTATAAGATAGAAGAGATGGACTTCTCTACAATCTTATCTAAAAAGACTTTAAAAAATGACAGAGCCATATGTTTCATTTTAAAATATAATAACCTCCTCTCCTCTCCTACCAATAAGATGATAAGGTAAAAGAAATTACATTTCCCCAAAGCTCTGGGGGCTAATTACATTTTTATGATTGTGAAATCTCTCCTCAGGCTCTCTGTTACGGGACTTGGGACAAAACAACATCATTGTGTGTTCTTGGGAAGGACGTGGGGAAGTAACAGGGCAGCTTTATTTCTTTCTGCTGTCCTGCCTCAACCCTCAAGGAATATTTTCTCCAAATCCACAAAAAACTGGCACGGCCGAGATGGGACACAAGATTAGATGCGCAAACACTGGGCTCTATGAAAGGCAGCTTTTTGTGTGGATACAGAGCTCCAGTTACCACAGTCAATTGCAACATCTTAATTAGCCCATTCGTAGATGCAAACACTTGATCAAGCATGAGAACTGGCTTGAGTACCCATTTCTATTGGGCTACTGAATTGTTCCTCCCTCTTACCTTCCTTTTAACCAGCCTGTGTTGAGCAGATCTCCCCGTACAACTGAGTTGATAGATTTATCATTCCATGCCACAAAACAGGATTTCTTCTCAAAATACCAAAGCTTCTTTGGTCAAAAATTCAGTACTGGGTGGTTCTCTCCAAAGGCAGTACCATTTGTTCTGGTGGAACACTAGGTCTTCAAAGTGTCTCTATACTGCATGGTAGCACTAAACAGCAAAGGCTGTAAAGAGCCCTTCCTTTCCTGGTGTCCATGTTCAGACTGAGCAGGTGATGCAAACTCTCACTGGTGCATCTTTCATAACGAGCACATATCCTGGGTTTGCAGGACAAGAATGAGAAGATACTGTGACCCACAAGCCTTTTTTACTAAGGGAAATACGATGAGCTGTAGTCACCACCGAGTGTGAGAGCACATAGGCTCTGAGAGCCTGCAAGAGAAAAACCAAAGCCAGAACACGGCGAGATTGCTGAGCTGATACCACCTTGCAGTGGTTTATAACAAAGAAATGAATTCAACAGTGATTCAGGAAAACAAAGTCTTGATGCGACAAGACGAAGAAGCAGCAGAGAGGAGGAAGAGAGTGGCTCAGTGATGTCAAGGACCAGCTCTTTGAGAAGACACCTGCACTTCCCCACCAGACCGAGGAGGTGGTGGCCAGAAGATCTGCTGTGCTGGGGTCAGAGAGCAGGCTAATGCCCCACAGTGTGTTTGCCCCAGCCCGTGTGGTGGGCGTTGGCAATAAAGATAATAACTGTGCACCCATATCCTGCTTGTAGGACAGAGCTCAGAAGACTCAGTGCTTGGTAAAAGATCACAGAATCACAGAATGTTTTGGGTTGGAAGGGACCTTTAAAGGTCATCTCATCCAACCCCCCTGCAATAAGCAGGGACATCTTTAACTAGATGAGGCTGCTCAGAGCCTCATCAAGCCTGACCTTGAACGTCTCCAGCGATGGCACCTCCACCTCATCAAGCCTGATCTTGAATGTCTCCAGAGATGGCACCTCAACCACCTCTCTGGGAAACCTGTTCCAGTGTCTCACCACCCTCATTGTAAAGAATTTCTTCCTAATGTCTAATCTAAACCTAGCCTGTTCTAGTTTAAAACCACTGCACCTTGTCCTTTCACTACATGCCCTTGCAAACATCTTTCCTGGAGCCCCTTTAGGTACTGGAGGGCTGCTATAAGGTCTTCCCAGAACCTTCTCTTCTCCAGGCTGAACCACCCCAACTCTTTCAACCTGTCTTCGTAGAAGAGGTGCTCCAAACGCAGAAGGATGAAGTTAGCCAAAGGCTTGAGGGTTACAACATGGTGCACTCAAACATGCTCAAGAGGTATCCAGTGGAGAGGTCGCTCTGCACCTACAGCAGTTATAACCAGAGATAAAATTATACTGAATGAGGAAAGACAGACTGAGACTCCAGGAATGCAGTCAGGTAATTTAATTGCTTGCACAACAGCACAAGGCAGCGTCAGGACAACCTTGCAGTGTCCATATAGAAAGGAACAAAAAACCCCTCAGGCTCAACACCTTCAGGACTGATCCATTCCTGTGTGTCATCACAAGGAAAGTTTAACACATGAAACTCCAAACTATCCAGAATACAGCAGCTCAAAGAACATCAGGCAACAGGGACTCTTAATAGCAAAAAAAGAGAAGGGAAGAAAAAAGAACGACAGAAACACTGAAACTTTCTTTTTTTCTTTTAAACAATCCTCTGTAACTGTCTGAAAAAGAGCGAGGAGTAAACAGGAGAGCGTTACATTGCACAACAGGAATTTGATTTCCAGGCCTGATTGGGGTTGGGTTTTGTTGATGTTCTGGGGTTGGGGTTTTTGTTGTTTTTGTTGGTGCTAGTGGTGTGTGGGTTTCTTGGGGTTTTGTTGTTGTTGGGTTTTTTTGGTTTTGTTTTTGTTTTAACCTCACACTTCAAAACATGTACTTGTTATTTCTTATTTTCGTCTATGAGCATTTTGCAGATATCCTTCCTCTAGATGGATAATAAAGCTCTTCTTGCACCCGTTCTCCTCCTTTAAAAGTAAAGTTGAAATCGGTGGACTGTAATACTGCAAATTAGGCAAAGTGATACAAGCAGTGAGAT